TAACATAACCTAACCTAACCTAAAGTAACCTAACCTAACTAATTGCAAGTGCATGTTTTTGTGTGTGTACTAGAGATCAGAAACTTCCCGATCTTCTCCTGTTTCCAGGTTCCGAATAACCAAGTTCATGACGTGCCTGTCGCAATTATAGCCAGCAACAGGCCTCACTACTTGTATAGGTAAGTAAATGTGGTACTGATTCTGGCACATTTTTCTTCTCTTCGAAACATCGCTGTTCTTGCAGCATGTGCTGGAATCACTTTATAAAACATTAATTTCAATTTTAAAAACTGTCAGACTAATTCAGGATTCACAGAAATGCTTGGTACATCAGCCCCAAGTGACGTAATGCCAACTTGACCTCTCAGATGAGCCATTCTTAGCGGTGCACTTCTGTTTTTCAAATTATGTGGTAAAGAAATGTATTGGAAATTATCCACAGATGAACAACGAATTACAAAAGGTAGTGACGGAGGAGATTTTCCGTCTTCTGGGTTGTTGCGCTGTGTAGTCTGGTTGATGTTAACCAACGTTTCAGAGGTCATACTGCCTCCGTCATCAGGGCGATGAGTATGAAGATTTCTGTCTTCTGGGTTGTTGCGCTGTGTAGTCTGGTCGATGTTTACCAACGTTTCCGAGGTCATACTGCCTCCGTCATCAGGGCGATGAATGTCACCCCAGAAACGTTGGTTAACATCAACCAGACTACACGGCGCAACAACCCAGAAGACGGAAATCTTCAAATCTCTTATTGACGGTGAACAAAGTCAAATGCACAGAGGGATACTAGTAAACAGCAGGGAATATGATTAGCGAGACCAATCGCTCACCAAATACGTCAGCATCTTCTAAGACCTTCTGCTTCTTTGTTGTCGCAGGATGTTACGATCTTTGCTGTCAGCGCACGGAGCAAACCCAGAAATGATAACAGTGTTTATTGACGGATACTTTGAGGAACCTCTTGAAGTCACCAAGTTGTTCGGGCTGCGAGGAATTCAGCATACACCAATCGGAGTTAAGAACGCTCGAATATCACAGCATTACAAAGCGACGCTCACCGCCACATTCAACATATTTCCGAACGCCAAGCATGCCATAGTTTTGGAGGAGGACTTGGATGTATCACCAGACTTCTTCAGGTGAGTCTTTGAGGTCCAGATGGATGTAAGTGTTTTCGATGTCTATTTATGTACGAAGATCAATTTATTCTGTTCATTCTGATCACTGTTACAATTAACTGTTTCCTTAATTAATGTCTTACCAGTTTACAAATCACAGTCTTGAAATAATTGTTCCGTTCTTCTTCCAGATGCATTTTTTCACTTATTCACAATAGCACTTCGGTTCGCTGGCCCGTGCTCGGCAAAATAGTTACTTTGCACCCGCGCAGTTCTGCCCTTAATAGCTCCACTTGCCTTTTGTAGGTTCGTAGTAAGTTTTGTGCTGTTCTGCAAGCCCCAAGAATCTTCTAGTTTCTGCTTTGTCTTCCTCCACAAGTCATAAACTACCAGAATGTTTGGGGTCAGCCTGTCACACGCTCGCGCGTCTTGGAAGTCTGAGGCTGCAGGGAGCAGGTCACGCAGCTGTAGTAGCAATGTCTTCCTAGTTTATTAACCCGTTAATCCAGTAATAAACGTGGTTTAAACTTTTACCCTGTAGTAGGAATTTGACCACAAAAATTGCCATAATTTCTGAAATATTTTTCTAACGAGTGCCAAATTTTGAATGAATAATGAAAAAATCACATATGAGATAATGGAACAACAATAAATATTTTTACAATTTAAAATGCATAAGAGACCTTTAGTTCAACTTCCTGTTTAGTATGGAACATCCTGAAACAGGAATCAACACGCACTTTGGCCGCTCCTGTGGCCCTGGATTTATGGAATGTTCTGTGTTTGTAAGGTAGTAAGTACATCCACTGTAATTACTGAGATAAAATTTAGAACGCGTGCTTGAATAATATGAATACGAGGCTTGAGGGAACCTCAGAAACACAAGTGGAATTACGCAACCCGCATGAGAACTAAAGTTGATTGGCGAACGTTTGAACCGCATTTAGCTTTTGTCTGTTCAGATGAGTGAGGCTTTAGTATGAATGTCATAATGGAAAAATGTGACAGAGAAACATATTAAGTCATTAAAATGTTGGTAATGTTCCAACAGAAGGGCGTTTTATGGACCCAAAATGCTATTTTGCCGAAGACCTTTTAAGCAGCAATTTATTGTGTCGTGCATGTAATTAAGGGTTCCTGGATGAAATTATTTTGATTTCATAAGGAGGAGACCATTGTACGCGGTGTCCTCGTGAGTGGATCTTACTCTTTTAGAAGTACTCTATCAGCGTTGCGGTTTATCGGTAATAATTTGTTTTCTAGTTACTTCAGTCAGACCCTGCGCTTGCTGGAGGAGGATGAGATGCTATACTGCATCTCGGCATGGAACGACCAGGGGTACGAACACACTAGCGACGACCCGAGTCTGCTGTATCGCGTCGAGACGATGCCGGGCCTGGGTTGGCTTCTCAAGAGATCTCTGTATAAGGATGAACTGGAATTCAAGTGGCCAACTCCAGACAAGGCCAGCATCACTAATTTTCTCCTAATTAGTGTATATGCCTGTTTTGCGCGAAGTGCGTAAAATGGCCTACGTGAAAGGGGACTCATCTCTGCCTGCCCATCCATCTGTCTACGTGTTTAATCTTTCTAGAAGTACCAATTTTGCTTGTCTACACTTAAAGTTGTTATTAAAACTTAATTTTGGCCATTGTAATCATTAGTTTAAATTAATTTGAAGTTGTGCTTTTGTCTGAAACAATTCATTACACAAAAGACAGTACGTAACATAAGATAATATCTTAGAAGAGGTAAATATTTACTTGAATATATTGAAGAGGGGAAGAAATTTATTACTCAGCGAAGTATGGCGTCTGTTACAGTTGGTTAGCTACGCTGCTATAGATTTATGCATGAAGCAAGTTTAGAACATAAAATGCAAATTATGTGCGCTGTTTGGGAGAGCAGAGAAAAATATTTGTATTTTTTTCTATCTGCCGTTCTAATGGGAGGATTGCCGCTGACAGTTCCGTACTTTGTTTTCAAGATGTGGGACTGGGACATGTGGATGCGTCTACCCGAGGTTCGGAAGGGAAGGGAATGCGTGATTCCGGACGTGTCTCGGACTTACCACTTCGGATCTTCGGGTCTTAACATGAACTCGTACTTTCAAGACGTCTACTTTAAAAAACATTCCTTCAATACTCAGCCCAGTGTCGAGCTCAAGAATGTGGACAGGTGACTTTATAAGAATTACCTCTTGATACTGTAAGAGAGGATGAGAAGGTGATGAACCTTGGTGCGTTAGTCATCAAGTTGTATCATCTGATGACTGTAACTCCTGATCAGCAAATACTACTTATTATTTTTCTGGGGTTAAAGTAGCTGGAGTACGGAGTGGCACATCCACCTCCGTGTAGAGTTGCGGTTGAAAGTATGTGGAGCTTTGCGTCGTCTACATGACGTTATCCAGCACAGTAAATCCTTGTGACAGGTACATCATTGGTGGCAGACGATGCGCATTACAGTTGCATTGACCATGAGTGTTTACTACTCGGCATTTTGTGAGGGTTTTCATATCTCTTGCAATTAGCATTAATTTTAAGAAACTGTTCCAATGTATTATGTGTATCGGTGATAGTGCGGCTTTTATTCACTAACCTGGAAAAATATTATAGCTAATTCTGATGATCGTATGAAATTTTCAGTTTATAGTTCAGAAAATACTGCTTCAGAATATTTGTATTCCGTGGATATAAACACTAAAAGTACTGAAGTTGTGGAATTACGAGGGAAATTTTTTTAAAAAATTGCGGTAATACTTTTGATTATGTTTGTTTTTTGAGAAAAATAAATGTAATGTATAAATTACCAGTTTCAACATCATCTTGCCTATTGTACAGTTTGAAGGAGTATGATATTTGACGAATGCTTATTTTTAGTGTGAAGAAGAATAACTATGAGGAGCTGATAGTCAGCTTGATAAAACGGGGCACGGTGCTGGACCACAGCAAATCACCATGTGAAGAGAACTTCGTACCAGACAAGAAGGTCAGGACGCCCGGAATCTGTCTGATCTTTGAGACGTTTCCCGTGATTTCCTCGAGTCCCTCTGTTCAGAATGAGCCTAGTTCACATCTGCGTCTGTTCAGCTTCTCTACAGTTAATACACTGTGACAGACGTTAATTCTTTGAATTCTTCTTTAAGTCGGTAATACCCATTTGTAAATCCACGTAGTAACACGTCAGTGACGGCGGTTGCATTTTTAGTGCTTCTGAAGTAGATCTTTGCTGATCTTAAGTATTTCCTTGATTAATTCAAACTTATGTCACTCTTCAAATAACATGGTAACTGTATTTTATTTTAGGGCGAAGTCAACATCATGTTTATCAAAATGGAAGAACCAAAGGATTTTGTAACGTGGCTGCAAGTCGCCAAGGTACGTTCACAAGACTTTACGGCCGTGTATATTGGAAGCAAAATTGAAATTTTGTATTTCAAATTCTTTATTTTTATTTCAGTGCTTCAAGATTTGGGATCTTGATGCTCGGGGTTATCACAAAAGCATGTGGAGAATGCATTTGAAGGGCAGCGAAATGCTTGTCATCGGCGTTCCAAACTCAGAATATGCGTAAGTGCAGAAAATACAGAAATACGCTCATGTTCCCTTAAACCGGTTGTTATACGATAATTTCTTTTGGTGTATTGATGTCTTATGCAAAAATGTTGTGTGGACAATTTAATTTTTGTGAATTGCATGGAGAATATCTTGACAGCTGAATAATTATTTAACGTTTCCATTTTAAGTATTATTTACTTTAATTCCAGTATGGACACACCAAAATTTAAGTATCAAACATAATAAACACCACAGATATGAATTCTGTTACTGCATTTAATTGTGTATAATACACGTCCTTATTATTGGTTTGGGAAGTTATAAAATCAAGTATTCACTTTGAAATAAGTAAATTACAGGTAGTGGGGAGGGTCAGATTTAAATACGGAGATATGATGATGGCACGTACATAAGTGAATAAGTCAAAAAATGTGCAGTGCATTGAGAATTAGTAATTATTCTTGAAAATATGTGAGTAATCTTGTACTTAAAGTTATTTCCTGTGCTGCCGTCAGTTTCTGCGCCTGTTTTGTTCCGTCCGTTATCTGGTTACGAGGTCGTCATAGACGTTTCAGTGCAAAACTGATGTGTGTCCACTACTGTTTCATTACTTGGCAAACACCATTTGTGAAATAATGTTTGCAGTGTTATTAAGCGGTAGAGACATTTTTTAAACTCCTTGTTGAATGTGCCTTTACGTGACATGTTTCAAATCTCACTTTTCAGGAAATACAAACCTTCGAATATCACTCCAATTTACTTGGAACCTCAGAAACGTAAGACTAAAGTTAGGTAGCAGGACTGAGTACTGGAGAGTTTCTGCTGTCCAGCGTTGCCATAATACCAAGTCATCTGCGAGCTGCGCCCATTGTCCAGCAGGCAGAAGCTGCTGACCGCTTGATGGATCACACACATAATTTCCGTGTCCGTCGAGAAACCTTGTCTTTGTAATTCATAAGATGCCAAAACTGTGCGCTGATACGTTAATGTGTTCTTTATGTTGTGTGACAATAATAGCGAGATGTATGCATGTTTACAAGAATGCCAAGTGTGTAAGTGAATGCATGCCTCTAGAAATGGGAGAGGAACAGCTGTGCCACAAAAACATAGATATCTAACGCTACAGTGTCCTTCTCATTTGTTATTGTGCTACATAACCCACTCTTAGAATTTGACTTGGGGTTGGTCGGTGCTCTGCACATTGCGATTTACTGTGGCGTAAACTGACTGAAACAGATAATGGGTTTTAGGTTTTCACAGCGGTGAGTCTAAAGATGGCTGCCTTCTGGGTTTTTGCGCTGTGTAGTCTGGTAAACATCTTCCGGACTACACATCGCTGCAACCCAGAAGACGGTCATCTTCATATTCGTCGCCGTGATAACTGCTAATCTCACGTGACTGAAATTGTTTCACTCATTTAGCTAGCCAATTTCTAGTGGGCTGGAGGTGGATTATTTTAATTGCTGACCGGAAAGGCAGTGATTTAATTTGTAATCACTTGCACTCGATCAGGGATATTTTATGTTAAAACACTTCAGTGATACCAACAAAGATTCCATATCCCCTGTGGCCAAAAATGGGCCGTCTGGCTTGTGTCTTTCAGTTAGGTCTTTAACACAATGTAAATAATTAAAATTGAAACTGCTTTTAAAATAAGAGAATAATGAATAGTGGGTTATGACCATCGAAATTTCAGCGGAAGGTCTCTGAATGTAGGCACTATATTCACAGTCTTGCAAACTTTCAGAATGTACTGTATCGCCAATCTTAAATCAAACAACGGCTGACAAAAGTTCAAGTCTTCATGATTCATAGCTCATGTGGGAAAATGACGGGATGTCTTATTTATGCTGCACGGGACACGAATCCAAATCCTTCTTCATCAGGTTATGGCCGGCCGTCGTCACAACCGATCGGGATCTCTCGGCTTGATTTCGAACATTAAAACTGTTGACCTGCCAAGGGGCACTCTCAAAAATGTTGTTTTCTAATAAAGACAAAGTCTCGAGATAATTTTGCCGTTATGAATTGTGTGACGTAGGCCATTGTGCTTATCCTTGTTTCAAACTGCATTACTGAAAACTTTATATCAAGCGTAAAGTGGCCTTTGCTTTGGTGCCTTTTGATGTATAACGTAGTACTGAAGTTCAAAACGGGAGTAAGGCTCAGCGATCTGTGCGCACGTGTCTGTGAACTGAATTATTTGTGTTACGAACTCATGATGTGGAAGCACGATGGAATAGAAACTATAAACTGTGTGAGCAGTAAAAATCTATGTCGTTCCCAAACATTGCACTGATGCGAGATTGACGTGTCTATAGATGGGGCAGATTTTCTCTTTTGGAACTCTTTAATTTTTTTACTGAACTTCTCTTAATTTTAGAGCTTTTATTTTGAAATTTTAAAACCTACATGAAGACTGTGTGTTTATACAAATAAGTATTGTGTTCATAAATCTTCAGAACGTTTTTGTCATTATGCAATTTCGAAATGTTTAAAAGTATATGAGCGTAGTTCTTTGAACAGAGAAGCAGAACAAAAAGTATATGAGCGTAGTTCTTTGAACAAACAGAAGCAGAACACAGATGTTAAATTCATTACATGCCTGCTTTGCATTTATGTTCTTTACCACTACTCTCAAAGCTGTTGTGTTTATTTTATCATTTAAAGGATTTAATCTAATTTTTCTTATGTTATTTATGATCAAATCTCACCCAAATATAAGTAAAAAAGCTACGTAGTTTTGAAATTGGGAAACTCTTGCTGATGATATATTCATAGGCACATTCACAAGTTCAAAATTGTCGTGATCTGAGAACTGAGACACTATCTGAATCGTAAGTCAATTCTTGTACCTTAACCAGTTTTTGGAATTTTATAGGCCTTATAATTTGGATTATTTGATGGTAATTTTCTGTCCAATAATCCAGTGTGTGAATAGTGTCGTAAAGTAAATTGTTCAACTTCATAAATGCTACAGCCTTTCTGTTAAACATTCTTTAATGTAGTCGGTGTTTAACGAAAAAAAATTTTGTCCAAAATTAAATGTAATCAGTTTGTTGTAGGGGCTGACAGTACATGTAGAGGACGCAGTGATGCTTGCCTAAAAGCAGGTGGTACTGGAAAGTGGAGGATGGGAGCTGGTCGGGTGACAATACGCAGAAAGTAGTGCAGAGTAGGTATTATCGTGCCGTAATATTTTATGAACTAGACTAGTTTATGACCCATAAAAGTTGATGGCAATGAACCTTTCTTTTGTTAAACAGTAATACAGCTTATAGCAGCTGTAAAATGTCATTATAAAGTTAATTAAATGTTAAACATCTTCACAGCGACTGAAGCCAGATTCCTGACGAATTCACCAACCAATTAACTCCAGACTCTCATCAAATGCTTATTCTGCCAGACCCCACCATAGGCACCACCATAGCCTCGCTTGCATTCCTTGCTTCTGGGGTCACCACTATCACAACTTCATTTTAATTTTTTCCGTATTGCATAAACGGCACATTTATACGGACGTTGGATAGTTAGGAGTAGATTACAAGTTTTAAAATAAATTTATGTTTGAATTGTACTGTGTTTTTATCTTAGGGATATTTCTTCTTAGTATGAAAGTAGCTGGGAAAATTCTTTGGTCTTTCAAAGAATATTCTGAGAAATCTCTCCTATGTAATGCTTTCATTGTTTTATTAAATAATGTTTCTTTAATTATCGGATTTTAAAGAACAGCAAGCAAGTCGCATATCAACGTTTTTGTGGCATGACACTCTCTCACACAATACTTGGAATCTCAGCAAGACATTTTTGTTCATTGATCAGCGACACAACAGATGATTCTTAATGTTTGAGCTGAATTTTTACTGTATTGGACCATGTGAAGAATGATCTTTGTTAAAGAAAAGATTTTAAAACATGCTGAAGAATCCTCCCAGAACATTTTACTCATGCACTCCACGGCAAAATAACACAGTTTTTGTCACGAGATGGCTGTTATTTTAATGCAGTCTGAACGAAAGTGCAGCAGTTATTCTCTATGTTTGGATGTAGGGGATTTAATCCGCTGCCAGCCAGACTTTGTCTGCGAGGTGTAGCGTTATGCACAACTGTCTGGATAATATGTAAACAGTGGTGCTTGGTTGATCAAGGTTCAGTAGCAGCGTGGACTTCTTTGTGCTCGCTGTGTTTTGTTCGTGAGATTAAAAAGGTAAGCAGATGGAAGTGCGATTAAGAGACTGCATTCGTGTGTAATGGATCTCTTGGAATTTTAAAGGGCCATGAATATCCTCAGTGCTATAACTGGCAGAATGTGATGGATTTATTAAGTAACACTTTGCTTAAAATCATTTATGACAGTATATGAGGTCTTTAATCTTAAAAATAAGTTTTTAATTTCTGTGAAATTTTTAGTCTAGTATTTTTTTTAAAAAAAGATTAATTTCCAGTGCAGTGTAAGTTGAGAGTGATTATGTTGATGTTATTTGCAGTGAGGCATTTATGCTTGTTTTGACATGGAATTTTTTTCTGATATTCCTCAACCCATGTCCCCAACATAGCCCACACGTCAAGGATTTGCTACCCATATTAAATAGTAGACCCATTCTGCCAGCCGTAATTCTCATTTTCTGTTTTATAATCATGTCATTTCAGAGCAGTGGATTTCTTCTGTTAATATTTGCATGACATTGAATTTTTAAGAATGACTCCTCATTGGACGTGAAGAGTTTGTAAGAGATGGTGATGATTTTAACAATTTTATTAGTCAGGTCTGTTTCCTATTTTACTGAGATTGTTTTCAATATTGATGATTTTTTCCAGCAATATTAAATTTAATCAACAGTTCCGAATTAATTGGGTGTTCACAAATTTGTTTAGTAATAAGATCTTGTTTGGTCTACCACAGCAACAAATACACTGAAATGGATGTCCAACTTTGTTCCATTAGTTTTGCAAGTGAAAAATCCTTAGTATATAATTTCAAATTACCCTGAATATGTATGATTTGAGGTTTTCACAGCGGTGAGTATGAAGATTTCTGTCTTCTGGGTTGTTGCGCCATGTAGTATGGTAGATGTTTACCAACGTTTCAGAGGTCATACTACATGGCACAAGAACCCAGAAGACAGAAATCTCTTTAACCTGAATAAATAAAATCAGTGCCATTTTGTAGTGTCCTAAAAATAAAGGAAATATCTGTACAGTCCCTAGATGAAGCCTGGATAACTTCCGTGTTCTGCTTGGCCTACTTTTATTTTGATGTAAATGTACATGCATATTTATCAGAGTTAAAGTGGCTTACTCTCAACTGAATGAAACTGGCTTCAACGTACTGTATTTTGCTTTGGAGTGTGGTCTCTCTCAGACTGAGGTATTTTTCATTGGCTGCTGTGTGATACTGTTCTTGTGTACTGGATCAGAGAGATTTATAGCTATGATAGTTTAATGTTATGAACTGAGTTGAATATAAACTTTGTGTATAATATTTAATAATATTTTTATCCAGCTGTATTTGAAAGGTAGGATTTTTCAGCAAAAGAAAGTTTATTTTCATATGGAATAAAGTCTCCCCTCTGTACCATAAATTCAGACTGTATTCTTTTAAATGCATACCTGAATCCTTTTTGTGTGGTTCATAATAGACGTTGGTGCCTGGTACAAAATTTAGCTGTTTCATGTGAAGTTTGTAGATGTCAAAGCAGTCTAGTGCAAGCTTGCTCTTGTTACACCATCTATCATTCAGAAATCATTACCAAGCTTCTGAATTCCATTTGGTAAGTACCTGATTTGATTCCTGTCCAACCAGAGTACTGACTTTTCTGATATCAACCCTATATCATTCCAATCAAACTCACTGATTGCTTTTACTATGTATCAAATAGAAACTAATTATAAAATTAATAAGAGACATGACATTTTCAGGAATTGGTCACATATGCTGCAAATGTAAAAATGTGAGTTTGAAAACAATAATGTTTTAGTTTGTGTGCATAAGTCAAACGTCTAATTAGAACATTTCGCTGGTTAAAGTCTCCATGTTTAATTCAGTAAGAATCTAGTTCTGTATTATTTTCTGTCAAAAAGGAACTGAAGGACACAGAAATTAGAAAAATGAAATACATGTACATAGAATATTACAGTAGTGAGCTGAAAATGTGTTCTGTCTTGTGCTGGATGATGGAGCTCTTGCTGCAAATCTTTTCAGTGGGCTTGGCATTTCTCTCAAATCCCCAGAACTGATGTTGGTAATAGTTTGCAGGTTATGTTATAATGCTTTTAATAAGGTTCATAAAGGTAAAGGTGATATGCTTAATTAAGCACCATGCCATGTATGGAAGAATGGAAGTATAATTCCATGTATTCTTAACCATGACATGATACAGAAATATATGGCAGGGCATGTAGCATATGCAGAGAATTCATAAATGTGTACAAAAATGGTTCATAAACGTGTTGACTAAATACTGTCGGTTAAGGACCGGTAAAAAAATTGCAAATTACTAAACAGAAAAACCATTTACAAGTTTTTAACATCCACATTAGAGGGCAGGTAAGTTAACACACTTATCTTTCCTAAGAATCGACCATAGAATATAGCATATAATCGACTCGAAGAAGTCGATTTACTTCGAAGGTTTATGTATTCAGCCAATAGAGAGTGGAGATGGCAGACTGCAGACCACGTTAGAGTGGTTTTAACAGCGGCTGTGTGCGTTTTATGTTCGGTGTTTGGTTAGCGTAAGCCTTGGCTATGGCTGCAGATGATAGACTTAGAGTAATCGCTCGTCATCTTGGTGCGGGGAAAAAGAATGTTTTTCAAATGTCGGCAGCAATGCATTTATGTTCTTCTGAAAACCAGTCCTTTGAACCTGTTCGTGGGCGCGTAGCAGTTCCGACTGGGCCACAAAGCGACGCTAGAAAGCAAAGAAGTAAAACTGTTGATAGTGTTGTTCCTAAGAACAGGTAAGAGTTTTTATTGTATTTGTGTTGGGTTGCACAACATTTCGTTACGTATTTATTTCTTATCAGTGCTCCTAAGGCATTCAGCTATGCATTTTTTGTTTTTATGTCGGAGATTGACGTTTCCGATACCAAGTTACGTAGCAGGTGGTGATTGTTAATAAAAAGAGGGATTTTGTGGAAATAATGAGAAAGATTCTTTAAAACTGGACTTGGATTAAGTTTAAACATGCTTTGGGACGTAGGTAAAAGGGATAATAAATAGTGTTTGGAACATTGTTCGATCTGAAAACGTTCAATCGAAGCAGGATTTAAGATTCTCATGGCGGTGAGTACGAAGATGGCTGTCATCTGGGCTGTGGCACCGTGTAGTCTGGTAGAATTTTACTAAGGTTTTAGAGGTCGTTGCTGCATCCATCATAAGGGCGATAAATAAACTTTTACCAGACTACATGTCACAATAATGCAGAGGACAGCAATCTTCAGACTCACCGCTGTGAAAGCCACAAATGTTACAATTCTATTATGCTGTGGGTAATAGCCTATGTGGGCCCTAGAATAACATTTAATTTGTCTATGAAGGAAGAATGATCATTAAACTACTGCTGGGTGTCCAGTGCGTAGTCTGGCATTTCTGTGAGGTGGACATAAAATGTCAGAGACCTTGCATATTTGTTTGTGCATATTATTATTGGCACATTGCTCAGTAATAACAAATCATAGTGATAATAAACATAGCGAAAAACTGTCATAATTATGCTAATGTGGCTGTCAATACACAATCTACAGATGTCATGTAAATTATGTGTGCAGAAGTTTTTAACTTCATTAAATCTTTGCTGCTATAAGGAGTTTTTGGCAGTGTATATTTTCACTATAATGTTGACACGTTTGTTGTGCTATGTAATATGTGAAACTATTGCTGTGATTGTAATTCAGGGATAGGTGAGAGCATGTGACAGTACATTCATTGTCCAGGATCGTCCTTGAGCTTTTTTTTTGTAAAAAAAAGGAAGGAAAGTAGGCGTATGGTAGATATCACAATGCTTTCTGTTACCAACTTTTGAAACCATTAGCATTTATGAAAATTAGTGTACATGTTGTGCTGCTGGAGGTCACCCAAACCTTGTATTTTTTAATATCCTGAAACTGGTAATAGCAACATCGTGGGCACTTGAAAGTGTGAGGGAAACAGTAGCACCGCTTAATACAGAATCCTGAAATTACGTAGGTTATCAAATAAAATTATTAAGATGAGTTCCTTTATACAAAGGACTGCGTCTGCGTAGCACCAAATTTTGATGCCCACAGCTGTTATTTACGCTGTTTAGTACCTATTTTTGAAACTATAATTTAGTTCCCTTCTTTCTCAACTACAGTGTTTCTAATTTTATTCCCTCATTCACATCTAATTTTATATGGGTTTTCCTGTATTTCTTAAATCTGCAACATTAGTACAATTTATTATTCTCTTATAAGTTACATGCTCATTAATATTAAGCCATTTGCTTCTAAATCCTGCAAAATGTCCCAGTGTTATTTTTTCTAATTCTTCTCTTAATATTTATTGTTGTAATAGGTTATTGAAAAATATGCAACTTTTATTGAGGTTATTTTTGTGTGGATATAGAACATTAAATGTATCTCAGAAATTGTGTGAAATATTGTTTGAAAGTCAGCATTTACAGACATGGTGTTGAGGTTATATCTGACAGATTCAACATAGAATTTTTTGTGGGTTTCCTCAGTCCCTCCAGGAAAATTCCAGAATAGCATCCTAAATTAGGATGTGGGCGGTTTCTTACAGATTTCTCCTATTTATTACTCAGTGATCATCCCATTAATGTACATTGTGTATTCTAAACTTTGGTTAGTACCATTTGGAAAACCATAAATAAATACATAAAAATAAAACACTGTGACATTTTACAAGGGCAAGCAGTTATAAAGAAATATTGATCCAGAATTTTAATTCATGGTCTGCATTTCATTTTATTGCTATATGTATCATAAAATTATTCTTCACTTTACAGGTCAGGCATTCAATGCCTGCTGTCACTTCAGAGCTAATCTCCTTTTTAGCCGTCCTACATTTTTTCTTCTCTGTGACTTATACAGAAATGCTAATATAGGCAGTCACTCTTGATTATGAACGTAAATTATGGGACTGTGACATCAAGAGCATAATACTTGTGTACATTCAGGAAGTATGCTTTATGAGTTACACCTGGAACTTTTTTCGCTGAGTTAATAAAGAAATTGTGTAATCAAACCCAAATTCTCACCTTCAACCTTACAAATACCTGCATTGTTTAGATTATTAAAAAGGTTAATTAACAAAAATAACAATCATGTGAATACACACACACACAAATAGTTATCTGTACAGTACTTTTTCATATGTCCTTGTTATCATCAAGTTTTCGTATCATTATTTTTCAAAAAAATCTTTATTTTGTTTAAATTTTCCTGTATATCTAGAATATATACAGAATAGTATTGTATAATATCTATAGAAGAATTGTCATGTTCAGAGACATTAGCGTGCCTTCTGTTTCTGTTATGCAAATACTAAAATAGTTGTTATCAGCACAGTGCATTTTGATGTGTCCTTGTCGTTGTCAGTTATTTTAAAGAATATTAATTGTCTTACATTTTACCATAGAATGTGCTGGGTTTTAATGTCATTCAGACAGTTACTGCATTTGGAAGCGTTAGTTTCTTCGTTGTATGCCTGCTATGTCAATTTTTATCAGCAATGAGAACCTAAACACAATTCCTAAATAGAGGCCCACCTCTTGTTGGCCATCCATAATTCTAGGGCAAGACAGTGGATACTGTTTAATGTCCATGTATGGCCACTGAGCTGAGGTACTTCAGTCAGTGAGCGACTGGGTTACAGATTATTTAAGTGGGGTTTGATTCCTGGCACTGGTGTCTTATTCTGAGCAATATTAGCGATCGGTGTTATCTGTTTATTACTCTCCATTATTCACCTGTAGTCATTAATATTACAGACATCAACTGACAAACTTTGTTGAGACTTGGGATGAACATTTATTCGTTGGAGAGATCTCCTTATTTTAACTGACTTACTGGAGCGGAATTTTCCTTGAGAACCTGATTGCAGTTAATCAAGAAAATTTTCATCTTTTATGGAATCAAATGGTTCATTACCAAGTTCACAAGAGTCCGCCACTGGACTGTATCCTGTCCCTGTGTAATCCCATCCACATTGTGGCACCATATTCTTTAGTATTATCCTTAAATCTGTTTCTAAATCTTACAAAAGGGCCTCTTCCCTACAGATTTCCTGTTTAAAATTTTGTATGTGTTTCATATCTCCCATATGCATGCTACATGCCATGTCCATCTATTTTTTTATTCGATCGTTGCCATTGTATTTGGCAAAGAGTGCAAATTTTGAAGCACAGAACTGTGAGACTTTCTCCATCCTCCTGTTACTTTGTCTTAAATACCCTTAATCTAGGTCCTGCCCTCAGAGCAAGGCACCAGATTTCACATGGGCACAAAACTTAAAGTTCTGTCTATTTTAATTTTAGGTTTTCAGTTCAGAGAGAAGAAGAAACAAGATTGTGATCTGCATCGTAGCAAACTGTCTCCAGAATTTAATCTGTGAACTTTTGTTAGAATGACTTTTTTTAGGGAAATTGAAAGTAACAGAATGCCGACTATGTAACACATTTTCATTATTTACAAATCAATTATTGTACAGCCAGAACCAGTGGAAAATGTTTTTATGTTCCTTTGTGTATCGTCTGCACTCTGGTGTAAGGTTCTGGAAGGTAAAGTGGTAATTTACTCTCTGTTGTAGTGACAGCAATGCGCTTAAAATCTAGTGGTGGCTTTATTCTGTTTTTTTTTTAAATGTAGGTTGTATTTCTTTTTATTTAAATACACTCTTGTCAACTGCGTAGGCTGTTACGAGGACTGTCAATATTTATTGGGAAACGTGTGAATTAAAACAGTGATTCGCTGCTTCAAGGCACGTACTTGTCCATGTGCGCACATGAGCACATTTAGCAAAGCTATAAAAGACATCATCCAGGAGAATTCTGAGATTTGAACTTGGTTCCCACTGGGGATGACCCAAGTGAGCAAAACAGTACACCAACACATTTTGGGGTTGTTGTTGATGTGAATTAGCTGATTATTTTATCTCATGAATGTCCAATACCTTTGAATTTCTTATGTTGTGCAGTCTTTATCTTGTCGTTCATTAGGTGTCTCTTTCTTCCTTCTTTTATCCTTCAATTTCTGAACTTGACTGTACTCCTTCACAATCTTTCACAGAGGCGGTATACAGTCAAACCAACAACCGGCTCCAAGTCGGTTAATGCACGGCGTGCATTGCGGTAGTGCAGTGTTTCCATACCGAGCGCTTTAAAGAAGACCAGCTGAATAGACTCTTATTGGATTGTGTGGGACTGCATGACAAAGAATTTGAAGGCATTGAACATTCATCATGCCTGTCTGTTTACAGATTTTCTTGCTTAGTTCAGAATGTACTTCTTGACTTCTGTTTCAGGCAAGAGTTGCTAAAATGGAATGGTTGGGGGTACAAGGATTCAAAGTTTGTCGTGGAGAACAGAATTATTTCCTTCACAGGAAATCGGTATGTCGTCTCATTCCGAGTGGTTTTGAGTAAATGGGTTTGTATGATTTGTTTTTATGTGTTGAAAGTAACGGCACTTGTCATTTCTGTTGCTAGGTATGCCATTGGCGAACTCTCTCTTCCCTTTTTCACAAAGTGGGTTTTGGATAAATTTGATATTGATTGGGATTCTGCAAGAAGTTCTCAGCCAATGCCTAAAGACGACAATTTACCATCGCCCATTGTCGATGCAGGTACTGTCCAATTCTGTGATTTAGATTTGGTTCTTAGTACACTATTTCAGAGCATATTTAAATCTTTTTAGTATGTGTTAAGTTGCATGCCATGTTTCTATTGGCCATTTGTGTGATCCACTATTATTTGCAGTGCGCTGCAGCCTGTATTTTACTCTAAATATGCCAGCGACTAGACAAATCAACCACTGTTTGTGTGATCCACTATTATTTGCAGTGTGCTGCAGCCTGTATTTTACTGTAAATGTGCCAGCGACTAGACAAATCAACCACTGATACTTCTTGGTGATTTAACCTGTCAGAATGTTTCCTTTCAGTATAGTCTGTTTTAGTGAAAGATTTCCCAAGCCTGGAGTGGGGCGTGGTAGTAAAAATAATTTCTTATAACATGTCACCACATATTTTTTCGATCTATGATGGCTCGTTGTTTACGATCGTACAAAAAGTTAAATATAAGTAGTTTTCTCTTTCGTACAAGAAAATATCAAACAAATCCTGCATATTTTTCTAAGATCTGACAACAACTTCATGACACTACATAAATAGCACTAGCGTTATTTTCATCTCATCAGGTGACTGTTGGAGTTGGTGATTTTAGAAGATTAAAAAAAGGCGTAGATGCTCATATTGATTTTTTTAATTGACTCGCTAAGAGCTGTCGTTGGAAGATAAAAATACTTGTTCATTATTATTATGATAGATCTACTGACATGTGGAAAGCAGCAAACTGACAGAAAACTGTTTTCTTAAAGGCCATTTATTCTGTGACGACACTGGTTTTTAAAATGACATAGTAACTTATAGGTAAATGATCAGCTAACTCAGAATATTCTGTCCCATTGGTGTATAACATTTTTTAAAACTAGCTGATAAGGCTTAGCAGGTAATGTTTAATTTTTGGGGCTTATGTATTAATAACCCGTATCCCCGAAGGCCTTATCAGTTGTTTGTTGAAACAAAATTTGTTTCAGTTGTATCTTATCTTAACTACACAACTTCTGTCTTCAGTTCATCAAGGATTTGTGACACACTGTTTGATTTGCAGTTTGCATTTTCTGGGCACCAATACTTTGTGAGCACACTGTGCTGTCCATCCTACGAAGTGAAATTTTATGTGTGACACCAAGATAAGTGCCCACGGAATATGATTTTGGGCTGTGTTGATCGGTTGAGATCAGCAATCTTACTTGACATAAATGCTCGTTATGATTCTGTTTCACGTAGTAATTTTGAAAGTCAACTTTTGTCGCCCATGTACTCTTGATCCAGGTGGTCACTGTAGCGTACCACCAAACCATTAATCCTTGGAGTTGAACTCTGGTTGGCCACCCTGTGGTATGGGGCTCTCAGTCCTCTTTTTCAATATGATAAAGATTAATAGTTACTCAGGTAGTCAAGGAATTATTTTTTTTGCATGGATCTCGAAGGTTCAGCACATTTTTTGCAGAAAGTTATTCCATTAAATATGTTAATGTTTTGTATATATTAAAATAAATTCTAAATGAAACAGATGTGATACTTCTTCTGTTTCTTACGTTTTTTACTTATTATTCATGTGGTTAGCCATTTTCAGAAGGTTTATTGATATATAATTATTAAGCATAATTTATTTATAGGTTAGATAGCATTCAGTGTACCGAGGCTAGTGAAAGGATAGCAATGTAAATACTCCCAACTGCTTTCGTGTAGAATATTTAATAGACGTCCTCTTATGCTACGCATTTAAAGTATTCAGTGTGGATACGTACTAAATTTCTGTCTGTGTTAAGCACTTGACATCCTGCCTTCGTATGAGAAAAGTAAACTTTGATTTATGTGTGTAGAATACTTAATAGCTGATGCAAGTGAATGTGCTTAAGCGCTTATTACTTGTTTTGTGCCAGACGAACGTAAAGTTTTTTTGTTTACTTATATTTCTCTGCTTGTATGAAGCTATTTATGTTAACGAGCTGTAGAATAATTAGCAATAAAAAACTATTTGCAGTTATGGTGGTTAATGTACTTTGTGGAGTTGTAAAAATGTGGAGTCATTATTTTGTTTAGTGATGACAAAACCTTAGAGGTCAAATCATGACCTTGTGGGCTGTGGGTGTCCCACTTGTGGATGTTGGTTTGATTCCCGGTTGACCACACTTGTAGTCTTGTTTGGGATCTTGCAGCATCTATTTATTTTCAGTCCATTTTCTTCGCATCGTCTTCTTACGAAAGAACTGTAATAGTTCGCCTTTCTTCTGTTGAAGGCGTAAGTGGCTTAAGTATGTTTAAGAATGTATGGAGCTTTACCTTCACTCACGTTGTGCCTTTATGGCGTGATACTCGAGCAAAATATTTCTGTCCGTTTCAAGTCAGTTGTGTTGTTGTTATTTAAGCGCCGGTTTTGAATATTATCCTGTTGACAGGCTGACCCACAGCGACGATGATGTCGATAACAACGATAATGATAATTCTTTGATTTGTGAATTTGTGAAAGAAAGTAGAAATGATGCGTTTAATTATATTTATTGCAGAATTTCTAGATGAGTTGCGTCTCCTGCAGATGTCTTTTTCTCTTGATGGCGTCGATCGCTTGATACGGTCACATGGACACACCCTGCACGACATCTTTATGTTGAGAGAAGGAGCGTTTGAACGGATCGCGGACATAGTGGCTTGGCCAGGTGAGGCAATGTGGCATGCAGGTATTTTGGGAAAGTAGGTAAAAGAAAGTGAATGAATCTATTAATATGGGCGACAAACAAATTGTGGGTTGCGTTACTAGGAATGTGAAGAGAGATCTATTGTAATCACTGCTCTCACTGAATACAGTGTTTGTACAACACTTTATTTCCTCACCAAGGTTGCTTTATGCTAGCTGTTGGAGCTTTGTAAATATTCTAGAATGTGTACAATAGACTTTTTGTTTTGTTGGAAGTTCAGAATTAAAATATGGTAAATTATTTTTTTTTCTTTGGGAGTATCTATGTTGGTAGGTAAATAAGTCAGTTTTATGTTCAGAAATAATATTACCTTGTCACACATTGCAGTCCGTGTGGAGAGAAATTTGTAAATTCTGCCTTGAGGTACAATTATGTAATGATTTACAGTTGAATGAGTCATGAGTAATTTTGGAAAAAATTGACACAAAACTGTCCCCTCACTCAGTGTGAAGCACCATTCAGACGCTTTCTTAAGAACTTTGAGCGTGTGATGATATGATATCACAGATTAACAGATTGTTTTCTAATGTGCCAAGCTGTGTTATTTAAATATGATTTCAAATAGAAAATTACCCATTAAAAATGATGGGAAGATCTAAAGTATTAATTAAAACACATTTTTATTGAATAGTCTAACAAAGCAGCATATAAAAATTAAAAAAATAAAAGAACTTACTGTTGCTTAATCAAGGAATATAATCTGGTTTAATGTAGTGCAAACAGTGATTTTAAAAATTGAACATCCAACCAGTATATATGTCAACGTACATCAGACGCTGTACATTATTTGATCAATTTGAAAAAGGAGATAGATATGGTAATTTGGCGAGAAGACGTGAAGAGGAGAGGCAGATTCAAAACCAGGCCCAGATGCTAGAATACTATTAAAAGTGGATTCCACATTCATCTCCAGGACACCAAATCTTGATACGTGAACTGGATGATCAGGGAGGCCATTGAGATTGAGCTACGGTCAGCAGCGTGAACAGGGAGGATGCTCTGTCATTCTTTTACAGATTATATGAGGTCATGTGAAGGCGTCTTTCAGTCCCAGACAAAACATTTCACCTACCACATGAAGAAACCTTTCTTAGTGGCTTTTGCCGGATAAATTAGAAAAAGATCATCGTCAAACAGGTCATGAAATATATTGTACTTCTGTTGTAGCGTGGGAGACGTCCGGAAGTTTTTTCGTGACTCCTTCCATCTCCTTACAGATTCTTCCGTGTTCCTGCCGAGGTGCTGAAAATGTCTTTAAATGTAAGAGAATTTGGTGTGAAGTGCTGAAGCAGAACTCATTGATTAGGATAATATGTCTGTTATAGAATGTCACGATGACATTGTAAAGTTGGTACAGCTTGCACAGAAACATGACGTTGTCATCATCCCTTTTGG